TCCTATAGCTGGCGACCGTCGAACAAATCGCATTTACAGAAACTCACACTTACAATCCATATGCTAACACTATGTTCGGATACAGCGACGAGATGCGAATACCTATTCAGCAACAGGATCTGTATACGTTACCGTGTGAAAGTTGTCTATACATCGAGGGAAAATTCGCGACGAGAGAGAGCGCGAAGGAAGGCACGGCGAAGGAAGGCACGGCGAAGGAAGGCACGGCGAAAGAAGTTACGAGAACAAAGCTAGTCAATAATTGCGTCGTGTTTATGTTCGACGAGATTCGATACGAGCTTAATGGCGTGGAGATCGATAAAAGCAGAAACGTCGGCATAACGACCTTGATGAAAAACTATGCATCGTTGAGCTATGAGAGAGATAGAGTTTTACAGAACACCGGATGGGAAATACCGCCTATAGCGTTGGACGATTTCAACTTTTATGTGCCTCTCAACGTACTCCTTGGTTTCTGCGAGGATTACAAACGCATAGTGATAAACGCGCGACACAAACTCATTCTGATACGCGCTCGCAACGATAACAATTGCGTCGTAGCGTATTCAGATCAGAGACCGAAGATCACCTTGTTAAGAATACAATGGCGAATGCCACACGTGATACTTAATGACGTTAACAAACTATCGCTTCTGCGAACATTGGACAGTGGACGATATCTGAGCATGGGCTTTCGTTCGTGGGATCTATACGAATTTCCGCTGTTGCAAAGTACGACCAAGCATTCCTGAGCGGTAAAAGCGGCAACGCAATTGGAGAAACCGCGATACATGATCTTTGCGCTACAGACCGGAAAAAAAACGTACCGTCAGAAGACATTTCTAAATTCGACAATTGTAAGCTGATTAATGTAAAACTCTATTTGAATTCCGAGTTCTATCCTTACGACGATATGAATCTAGATTTCGAGCGAAACAAGTTCGCAGTACTGTACGATATGTATCTAAAATTTCGAAAGACGTATTACGGGTGTGAGACTTGCGAACCATTCATGTCTGTCACTAGATTTCTGCAATACGGTCCGCTAGTGGTCATCGATTGCTCCCACCAAAACGAATCGATCAAGAGCGCCACCGTCGACGTTCGCGTAGAATTCGAATGCAAAGAGAACGTTCCGGCTAATACAACGGCTTATTGTCTCATCATTCACGATAGAGTTGTAGAGTATAATCCACTGACAAACGTCGTACGTAAACTCACGTAATCGCGGTTTTCCTACGAGAACGATGCCGAACATACCGATCTTCGTCGATCTGCAAGGTTTTACCGTTCGAGACAAATTTACGGTTAAAGAGGTGGCAATATTAAAAAATGGAAAAGAGCTGACCCATCAAATATTTCGAGAAGCGATACCTTGGAATCTTCTTACTTAAAAACGGAAAAATCTAAAGCGTGTTGGATAACCTCCAATCATCACGGCCTGCAGTGGAGCGACGGCGACGTCGCGTACAGACTCTCAAAGCACGTGATTCGAAACAGCGTATGCGATCAATCACAAGACGCACCTAAACGAGTGTACGTCAAAGGCTTGGAGAAAAAGAAATGGTTAGAGGAAATTCTCGGCTGCGACGCGGATCACGACATGATCGTCGAGACTATTGACGCGGATTTCGAGGATATAGGGCGCCTAAGCACTCTGGACGACTTTCGACGATTTCACTGCGAGCGTCACATGAAGCATTGTGGAGAACGTATGCAAATTGTACGACTGGTGATCAAAACGACGGGAATGTATCACCGAATTGTAATATCACATTAACGACTTATATCATATGTCAAATTAGTTTTTAATCATTATATTTTAGATTCATTGCTTATATATTATAATTAGATTCATTGCTTATACTATAATCGAATTGAAATTAGTTTTTAATCATTATATTTTAGATTCATTGCTTATATATTATAATTAGATTCATTGCTTATACTATAATCGAATTGTTTTATCGCTCGCTATACTTATATACATGCTTGAGGAAATACACAAAACATTATTTATGATATATCTCACTTTTATTTCATCTCAATCTTACAAAGTACAGAGCAACAAGTTCGCAATCGATAATGTTACGATCGTAAGCATCGCTATCGCGTATAACTTTCAAGATATTTTCCTTATCCTTAGCGGTTAACGCAATATCCTTGAAACGTGCCAATTTCGCATTAATTTTTCCTAATATCTTGGTCAACGAGATAACGAGTCGACTGATGCAATGCTCGAGCTCGAACATATTTTTCACTGTTTCCTTCGACATGGCCAGGCGAGCCGCGGATGTTTCCAGGCGTAATATCGTCAAGTTGTTGATTTTTCCAAAACGCACGGTCATATTTCCAATATCCAACGGGGCTGGAAAGGACGGTTTTCCTCTGCAGATACTTCAAGAGAACGTCTCGTTGCTCGACAAGCTGTCTCCACGTATCGGGCGACATCAAGACCTCCTTGCCATGACTATTTCCCAGAATAATATTCACGCGCGAGGAGCGCTCAAGAGTAACATATACATTAAGAAATTGTATCCCGTCTTAGTCAAGGAATATTTTCGTTCTAGAATTCTAACTGAATTATTCGTATAACCGGCGTTACCATGACTCGATGCGATCGATCTGTCATCGTCGAGCGTCCTCTTTCTCCTTTTCGCATCATCGCTCTCGTCGACTCGGCACGTCTCGGAATCCTGCGAGCGCTCGATATCGTACATCTTTACGATCGAAAAGATCGCGCAATACTGTTCGTAAACGTTTCGTATCCTTAGCTCTATACATTATGCGAAAACTTCCGTGCCTCTTCCTCCTCCCTCTCCTCTTCTAAATCATCCTCGCTCGAAAATACGTTCCTCATCTGAGCGAGTCTTTTCAAAAGAGCGCGCAGTTGCTCTAACAATCCGTCCTTTGGACACACGATACCAAAAATCTCCGAATCAAATTTACCGGCCATAGTTACACTTCTAGTAAATTTGTTATATTTAAAGAACTGTCGTTTAACAAAAAAGTACAGATTACCGTCGATGTATCGAACGGCGGACGTTACAGCAGGTGGAATCCCAGGAAATATCGCGTGCAACGAATTATGCCTGACGGCTATCATCGAGCAATCGTCGATCTCGGCCACGATCTCGTCGTTGTAGATCGCGAACGTTCGTCCCGTGTTAGTATTAATCACAGCATTAATTTTCGCATTAGGAGGAAGATTCATATCTTTCAATTTCCTTGGCCAACCCGGTACTAGCTCAAAACTCGGATATTCTATCATATAAACCGTATTGTCAACAAACAATACGAGTTGGCCCGAAGGTCGTCGATACGCACCCGCCAAACGCGTAAAATTATCGGGAAGGAAATGCAGATAGTCCGTCAGTAACAACGACCTACCGTAAGATTTTCCGTTTAGATCGACCTACCATAAGTAATGTCGATACGCCACATACATTCTATTTTCTAATACCAACACCGCATCGACGCGTCGCAACGCGCACAGATCCACGGAATCCCGTATCGCGCGTCGCAATCGTGGTCGTCGCTACGGTCGTCGTAACTGGTCCCGCAATTTCGCTCTTATTTCTTAAACCGTATAAATTCTGAATGGCGAGAAAATCCGCCTCGCTCAATCGCACGGGAAAGGTCTTAGAGGGAACAAAAGCGTACATTATCGCATCTTTTAAAGGACTGTGATGTAATCCTAATGCGTGACCGATCTCGTGCGTCAACGTATGCAACAGATGAATCGTATCGTCAGGATTAACAGTTAACTCGATGTACCACTTCTCCGCGCTATCCACGTGCACCTCTGACACTTCTGACGATGGTAAAAAAGTGTGAGCTAACACGTTTCCTGGTCCGTCCAGCAACGACGGACATATTCGGCTACCTTGATGCCGAGGATCTACAAACGTGTGAAAACCTTTCCGAAACGATATCACGATATCGGGATTCGTCGAATTGCGCTCGAACGTCAGCGACGAATTCGCAGCCCACATCTCGAACGCGACTTCGGTGACTCGTAGAATGCTCTCGCTCGCCAGATGAAAGTTCTAAGTGAGATGCATCTTCGCCCATTTCCTCGGAGAATCGTCCAAGTCATTTAATATATCTTTGACGTCGTATCGCGGTTTACGCATTTGTTCCAATGTAGCTTCGTTAAGAACACCATCACCAGGTATATGATAATACTCCTGAAAAAGCGCAATCGCGTGTCTCAGAGCCAACGTCGCATTATCTGATATCGTTTGCACGTTATCGCCATCCAGATATCCGTAGGTTTGCAAAAACCGAATCGCCTCCTCGTCGCTGTCGGCGATGGAGTCGCGAATCGCCGCGATAACGGCTATCGCGCACGCGATCACGGCGATTTCACGAGCGAGCGTCATCGCGCGAGACAGAAGTCAAATCGACATTGCGCGTCGCCGACTGAAATACGCGCGAACCGTTCGATCGATGTTGCCATCGGTCGCGAGAGGGCGAAGACCAACGCGATGAATCGATCCGAGTCGCGAATCAGAAATTAAAATCGCTTTAATTTCTATTCTCTATCGTGTGAGATTATTCTCGTCGAACGAATCCAAATATAAGTAGCGCACCAACATTACACATCAACGAATAACGATCTCGCTAAAGATCCCATACGCAATATCATTAACAATACAAAATAGAGAACACAAATAAAAGCAACGACAACGATAAAATAGCAATAGAATAAAGAACGAAGAAATAAACAATAGACTGATTAATCTTCTATCGCCGTTGCGGTCAGACTTCCCGTAGTCACGCGTAGCGAGCGCGAAAAATGACGCATCGCACAACATTCACATTCCCAATGAAATATTATCTTCTTATTGATACTCCTACGATAATTTTTTTCTCGCGCAACTCCCACTCTCGTCTCTCTCATACGTTCTCGGAACGAGAAAAACACCTCGACATCATATTTGCGCACACTTTTACACATATATTCGTGTACATATTCTTACACATATATTCGTGTATATTCTTATATATATTCGTATATATTGTTATACATATATTCAATTAATAATTAGTATACATATATTCGTGTATATTCTTATACATATATTCAATTAGTATACATATTAATATATTCTTTTACGTAAAAATATTAGTACATTTTTTCTTTTACATATACTCGCGCTCTTCGCCACAATCAATACCCTCTGACGATAATTCGCGCGAACGTCATAGCGATACATTCTACTCGCTGTCGCACTCGACGCTTCTCGCTTCCCCACGCACTCCGGGTACCTTCCTCAGATCATCGGCGACTCGATCTATAAACTGTCGCATCAACTGCTTCTTCCGATCCGACACGGAGTTCAAAAATTGAACTCTCAATTTCGCATACTTCCACCAGTTGCGTCTCTTCTTCTTAACTATATCCTTGACATTGTACACGTACGTTCGAACCAATTCGCAATCGATCCCTTTCTCGCCCGGAGATCTCGCCTCGAGCTGTCGTCCACCCTTCAACTTCGTCACGTACTGAACGAATCGATCAGCCTCCTCCTTATCTCCAGATAGAGACGTGAACAATGCGTCTAAACCACTACCACAACTCTCATCATTCCCTCTCGTAGTATTCAAACGCGCAAGATATTTCTCGTACTTGTCGTCGAGATCCCCTTTCGTCGTTTTCAAACGCGCCAGATATTCCCAGTAATCTCTTATCCAATTCGAAGAAGCCTCCTTCGTTATCTCGATCTCCATAAGCGACGCACGCTCATCCGGCGTTGCAGAACTCTCGACCAAGCGAACTATACTATTCCCAGAGCAGTACGAATTCCACGGACCCTTTCGACTCCAGATATCAGTAACGATCCGTATAGCGTTCCTCATACGCTCAGCCTCGCGTATACGTGCGATCGGCTCCATTCCTCGATGAATTGCCAGATGTTTAGACAAAAACGCCATCATTAGCCGCAAATTACACGACGTCGAATGCATAGACGTCCACATCGCGCGCATCAACTCGAGCGAGTCGACCGCATCGCTCTCGACCTCCGCCGATATCTCGTTCTCCTCTTCCAGCTCGATCGTAGGCCGTCTCTCACGCCCCATCGTCATCGCGTGTTTCTCCCGTTCCACTATCTCGCGTTCCATCTCTCTCGAGAGCTCGAGCGAATCTTCTAAGAGCGATATTATCTCCGGATCCTTCAATTGACTCTCCAAAACATTAAACTGACTCTCCGAAACATTAGACTGACTCTCCATCTCGCAAACTACTAACAATATATCGTCGACACTCCTAGTTAAATACTCTCTAAAGTGACGTAAAAAAACACGTCAAACTACAAACAGGACGCGCTAAGCCCCGCGGAAAACGCTCGGACGCGAGACGCGCCTAATCGCGACGTTATGGAAAACAGATACGACTAAGGCGACGCGACAAACCGCAACATCCTGTAACAATGCGAGTCGCCTGACGACGCGCCTAATC